TCTCTATAAACCCCCTCTGTTGTGTGTTTCCTAGTGATAAATGTTGAGTGGTAATTCTTGAAGTTCTAGTGAAATGCCTTATTTACGCCTGTTACCCCTTGTGCTGCTCTGTGTCTTGACCTGCATTTGTTGATGTGTATGGGATAGAAGACCTAGGTCATCTGCGAAGTTTACATCGTCTAGTTGCATCCAGTCTGTCCATTTTATCCCGTGCTTCCAGTCAGACGTTGAAGTCTTCATAATCCAGTCGACCACCAGAAGATAAAGTGGGGAGGGTAGGCAGCCTTGTGTGACTCTGGTCCTCACTTGGAATGGATCTGTCAGCTGTCCTCCATTCACGGCTTTGTAGCGTAATCCGTTGTGTGAATTCCGTATGACGTTTAGTGTCTTCTCAAATACACCATAGTTTCTAAGAAGGTTCCATGAGGTTCTCCTATCCACGCTGTCCAACGCTTTCTCATGGTCAAAGAAGTTGACGAATAGTGACGAGTTCCATTCAATTGATTGTCCAACAATGATCCGTAATGTGGCGATTTGGTCTGTGCACGACCGATCGTTACGGAATTCAGTTTCTCGATCTCGAAGCTGAGTGTCTGCTGAATCTTTCAACCTGTTCAACAACACTTTGTTTAAAATGATTCCTTGTACCGATATAAGTGTGATGCCTGTGTAGTTCTGACTTGCTCAGATGTCCTTTCTTTGATATCTTGATGAGGTGTTATTCTTTCCAGTCCATCGGCACTTGTTCTTCCTAATTTTCTTAAGTAAAAGATCAAGCTTGTTTGCAGTTGCTTCCATGTTTGACTTCAGTAATTCAGTTGCTATGTTGTTATGTCCTACTGCTTTCCCATTCTTGATTTGTCTGATGGCGATGCTGATCGTTGGTGAAGCGAAATCTATAGGATGGTCTGTGTGTGCTGCTTCAATGTCCGGTGGGTTCAGTGGGGCTAGTCTATTCATCGAGTTCTTCAAAGTGCTCTACACACCTGTTCCTATGTTCTTGAATCTCATTGATTAACTTGCCTTGTTTGTCCTTGACTGATCTTTCTGGTTTACCATATTTTCCTCCCAGTTTCTTCGTTGTGTCATATAGTTGTTTCATATTTCCTTATCCCGATAAGAATAATGACTGGTAACTTTTGGGATCAATTTATGAACCAATACTAAGCGCATATTTCTATTCTATAATTAATAAGTAACTAAACTATGCATATTCATATTCCTCTTATTATAAGCTTTATTTTGACCCATAAAGTATTATTGTACGTTTTACCATTCTTTAGTTCTACTCAGTACATTAATTACTACCTCCCTCATTCACAGCCACTTCTGGCTAATTCTTGTACAAATGTTGTTTCATATTTTATTGGTACGTTGTGGTCTGTTTGATTGGTATAAAAACTCAGTATGTTTGAAATATAACGATTCATATTGCAGAGGCTGAGACTGGTGTTCTGGACTTATCTGGCTGGGCTAGGCGGAAAGCAGGACTAATCAGAACTCTAGGCTGCTCGCACGTGTTTTACGCGTCCTTGGTCCGATCGATGAGTCACTGCCCACTAATCGGCGGTCACAAGTTATAACACTTCTCTTGCACCTTTTTCCACCAGTACTCCTGGGTGCTTTTTGTAGACCCTAATACTTCTTTTCACATGCTTGTTTGCTTCTGTGCATTCAGCTTTTGCTTTTACTTTCTCTGCTCTTGTCCGGCTATTGTTAATCATTGTCTTCCCGTTCTTCTTTTCTTGAATCTCGCCCAAGGTTTTGATAGGGATCCATTCCATATGGTGATGCTTCTTGCTTTCCAGAAGCTCCTGGCACGTTGACGTTATTGCTTGTTTGACCCCTTACCAGTTGCTCTCCAGAAAAATTTCCTCTTTGAATAGATCTTGTAAGGCTTGGAATCTTTTGCTGAAATCTATCGTGAATTCGTTGAGGAAGGCTGTATTAAACCTTTGTAATGCTGTTTCTGCAATTGGTCAGTACTCCTTTAGCTTCAGTTTCATCTCGGCAACCAACAAGTGGTGATCTGATGCTATACCAGCTCCTTTCTTTGTTCTCACGCCTTCGATTGACTTTCTGAATATTATAGTAATGCAATTACGATCAATCTGATTCTCTGTAGTGTGACCCGGGGAAACCCGTATAGCTTTGTGTATGCGTTTGTGGGGTAATATAGTGCCGCATATAACCATTTTGTTGAATGCACGAAGATTTGCAAATCGCCATTCTCCTTCCTTTCCCTCAATCAGTCCATGTCGGAGTTAATTAAAAGCCGTAACAAGTGAAATTCAGTCATGTCGAGTTTGAGATAGTTATTAATTAGTAGTGACATTTGAGAATGGCTGCAGCTATATCACAAATCGATTGCAATTAAGAGTTTAAACTATTGGATGCCGATTTATTTTTTAAAGTTTAACCACTCATAGAGTGACCGAAGTTCTTGGATTCGATCTCTGGCAAAGTCATGGCTTACCAATACTGGAAGAGTCTCATATCAAGACGAAACAGCTGTCCAGTGCTTACTCGTTGTCAATAGTTCTTTACTAAGATCAGTCCGTGATGTAAACGAAAAAAATTCTTTAGTTTATTTGATATTAATAGAAGTTATGTAACGCTGATAAACTGTCTTTATATATGTGTGTATATAACTTGGCTATCGCATTTACTTTGTGTTTTATGAAAACCTAACAAGTTATGTACAAACCAAATTATTTGACTTCAAATAGATCAAGACGAAGCTAATTTGGCTTCAACAATAAATTTGACATAGTATCATTTCAAATAATCATTACTAGGGAAAAGGATTTCTAGTTTGGTTTCCTACTCACGTTAACAATCTAATATTTGCCCATTTATATGTGTACTAAAGAGAGAAAAAGATTCTTAAGGTTACTCGTATTCAACCAACCAAAGATCGTGCATATAAGAGTTTTAAAGTATACCGATGTAAAAGTTAGCTTGGTTACATTTGTCATTGAACATCATGCGTAAAACTTTCTATTTCATTTACTCCGTTTCTTTATCTTTTATGTTTAGATTTTGATTGAATTTCAAATCAATTCGTTGTATTTGATTTCCATTTCGTTAATTTCCTCTCTCAGTGTATTATTAATTCATTTGAACTGAATTCTCATATTCATACTGGATCCTACGTTATTGAAAACTGACTGACTTATGTTTAGACTAATATTATTAATAATGCTCCTGTTCAATTTAAGATTGTGCGGTATATTTAAACAATTTCACATAGTTTTATGTTCTGAACAAATAAAAACCTTTGTCAGAGGGTTAGAGATTATCGGCAGGATATACTGGAATTAGTTTTCATGCTTGCTGGCAATTCACATCATAAATGTTGATTCAACCATTTAAAACTATAATAATGGTGTTTAGATTTTTAAGCTTATCATGAATGCAACTACTTTTATTGTTTGCAAATTATGTTAATGTCGTTTCCTGATTTGACCAGTCTAACTTGAAGTAACCAAAATTAATGTTTAGTGCCCATTTAACGATATTCGAATGATTATATGTTTTATAAGCAAAGATTGATAGTGGTTAGCAGTGGAATCCAGGACGTGCGTTTCGCTCTATTTGGGACTCGTCAGCTGAATGTACCTTCATCTCAGAGTTGATGTTCACTCTGGGACTCGGACCCAACACCGTACATCCAGTTGACGAGTCCCAAATAGGACGAAACGCGTGTCCTGGATTCCAATGCTAATCACTATACATCTTTGCTTATAATGCTTGTAAATTAAGGCAATATCGAGGCAATACACACAGTATGCACATATGCCAATAAGAGACTGATCAACTGCTGTCCTAAATATCAATTGGAAGATTCAAGTAAAATAATACCAAGTGTATTATATGTTTTATTTTAAATTGATCCTCTTCAAAATTTCAATCTTATCACTGTCTGTCGTACCCTGAAACACTGGCTCGATTCTTGAGGAAATTATTTATCCTCTTAAGGATTCACTAATGAACTTCATAGTTAAATCGGTTTTATTTAACAGTAACATATAAAAAACATTTATCAAGAACCTATGTGGAACACTGGCTTAAACACTCTACTTATAACCAGTTGATTACAGATTTAAACCTACCTTCAACCATTTCAAAATGAATAAACAGTTGATATTACTCACTTTTAGTAGTACTCAAAGAGAAATATATAAATCTTTAGCTGACAAATATGTTTAACACAACAACAACCTACTAGTAAGTTAATGAAATATAAAAATATATCTATTTCTATCTACTGTGACAGACAATCTATTATTTACACGTATACATTTGCCATCATGTAAAGTTTATTCATCACAGTTGGTGGAACACTCGCTTATCTGGTTAGCATGATCGGTTAACAAGGCGGATCTGATACAGACGTAAATACAACAATTGGCAAAGCAAGGAAATCATTTCTACAGTTGAAGAACATATGCAACTCAAAATAACTGTCAACCAATATAAGTCAGAATCTCTAATACGAACGTCGAGACAGTTCTATTGTACGGATCTGTGTTAGTTTTCTAATAGAGCCATCATCAAATATGTACAAATATTTCTAAACAATTTTCTACGTAAGATACTGAATATTCGTTGGCCGGATATCATCAACAACAGCCTACTGTGGAAGAGAACAAATCAGTTACCAATTGAAGAAGAAATTAGTAAAAGATATTGGATGTGGATAAAACATGCATTGAGAAAATCATCAAACTGTATCTCGAGACAAACACTTACTTTGAATCGTGAAGGGAAACGAGAAATTTCAAGATCAAAGAACACATTCCATCAAGGATTCGAAGCAGATATCGAAAGAATATATAGCAACTGGAAAGAATTTCACAGGATAGAGTTGAACGGAGAATACTGATGAACAGCCTATGCTCCTTTATGACGGGTAACAGGCATAAATAATTAAGTAAGCAACATATAGAGTTGTGATCAACAGCTAATATATGTGAAACATATTAAATTAATAAATATCATTATTATTATTATTATTATTATTATTATTATTATTATTATTTATACGTATAGAATTATCATTATCAATGATACAACATAAAATGTCAATCGTACAATGAATGATTATTGTTAAATAAAATGAATAAATAGTTCAATATATCATTCATTCTAAATAAATTAAAACGGTTTATTTCTCTTTGTTTTCATTTTCCTTCTTTTTCTCTCTTTTCTTCTTCTTCTTTTTCTTTCTGTTTTTCTTCTTGAAAATGAATTGTATGTAATATTGAATAGAAAATAATTATATGATCCAAAATTACTATTAAATAATAAACAATGAACATGTAGAACAACTGATCTCTCTGTCCCTCTCCCTCACTCCTTCCCTCTCTCTCTCTCTCTCTTTCTCTCTTGGTAACTTCATCTTACTATTGTGTATTGTTATTCCCTTTTCTAGAGAATATGAATTATGTATATATATATATATAAATTCATGTGAATATGGAAAAAAACTGATCATGAAATTGTTTACAATATTGATTATTATTATTATTATTAGTTTACAATTATTGATATTAATTATGTAATCTAGTAACCAATTGATCGATTTTTTTATTGAAAGTTTGATCAATTTTGTTTTGTTTTGTTTCTTTATTTTAATAAAATAATACTACACTAATGTTTGTTCCAAACTTAAACGTGAGTTCAAAATGTAAGTTTGTTCTTTTTTGTGTGTGTTTTTTTCATTTTTTTTGTTTTTTTTTTTAAAAAAGAAAAAAAAAAGAAGAAAAAGGGAGTTACTGAGCAGTTTAAAATGTCTAATTCTATTGAATGAAAATAAGGTAAAGAATGAAAGAAGAAAAGAAAAAACAAATGTGAAATAGTATCATAAAGAACTTCAATAAAGTAATATACTTAAACTATCAAGGTATTCAATAATAGAAATGTAATTATGAATTAATTAATTATCATTTTTATCATTTGGATGTATATTCATTGGTAAATATGATTTAGATGTTGGTGATTCTGGTTCATTTATTGTTGATTGATTTGGCATAACTGTACCAAGTGGTGATGTATTTTCTTGTAAACGCATTGCTGCAGCTAAACTCATACGTTTTTTATTATGACGACCTATACTAGATGAATTACGTTTTTCACGATCTGTTATATTAGTTACATTAGATAATTCACGTGTATATTCTTCTACAACTTCATCTATTTCTTTATCAATTTCAGCATCTTTTTGAGCTAACTCTTTATAACATAAATGATTAACTATACCAGCTCCAACTGCATCACCCATTACATTGATTGAAGTACGAATTCGATCACTGAAAAAAAAAACACAAAAAAGAAATTTAAACCATAAACCTACTAATATTTAATGATATTGATGAGAAACTTAACGACTTTTCATTCTGTTCATTTTATGATTCAGTTGTTCTCATCACAGTCCATGAAATTGTTTTATTATTTATTAATTTATTTGAACGCATAAATATTTGTACAATAGGGCACCAAATTTCGTTGGTCACTGAAAAGTAAGGTAAGATTAGCGCAGACCAGGGCATGATCAGAGTTCAGATAGGTACTCCAAAAGGAGCGACAGTCTTGTACACAACCACAACAGCGGTAGCTGATCGCGATGTAATCAATCTGAGTCCAGGCTTGAGATCCAGAGGGAAGATGCCAGGAAGCACGTCGGCGATGACTGTGCCGGATGTTATTGCTAGCCAGAAACAGGTTATCTGTCCTGAGACCAACAAATCCCCATCGGCCACCTAAACGACCCTCTTCTGTGCCTAGACTCCCATCCTGAGCACTGAAATCTCCGGCTAGGACTACAATATCTGTCGAACGCACTTTCTGGAGAAGAACAGTTAACTGGTGGTAGAATTCATCCTTGATTGCATCCGGGCTACGATCTGTCGGGGCATAGGCGAAGATGACGGAAAGACATCGTTTCTCACTTGTTTTATAGAGAGAATCAAATATGATGTAGACAAGTAAATTTTGGTGCAATTGTTTAAACACTTGAGAGATGTTAACATCAACATTGTTTTAGCTTGTATTTTTTGCACAATTGAAGAGTCTCAAACCAGTATGAATTAGTTATATTGTTTATTAATCTGTTTTCCATGATTTAAATTATCCAACTTTAATAGAAATGAATGACATGTAGATTTTTCAAATCTTAGTCATAGTTATTAACAGGGAAATTCTTTCAGACAAACTAAATTTTTTCAATTAGTTGTTTCCTTTGAAAACACTGAGTTCATGTTCCAGAGTGAACATCAACTCTGAGATGCAGGAACACCCAGCTGATGAATCTTAAATAGGACGATGTGGCGCGCGTCCTGGATTCCACTGCTAGCTGTTATATCCCGATAAGAATAATGAATGGTAACTTTTGGGATCCATTTATGGACCAATACTATGAGTATATTTTTATCGTATAATTGTTATGTTACTAAACTGTCCATATTCATATTCCTCTTATTATAAGCTTTATTTTGACCCATAAAGTATTATTATACGTTTTACCATTCTTGAGTTATACCCAGTATATTAATTACTACCTCCCTCATTCACAGCCACATCTGGCTAATTCTTGTACAAATGTTGTTTCATATTTTATTGGTACGTTGTGGTCTGTTTGATTGGTATATAAACCGAGTATGTTTGAAATAAATGATTCATGTTGCAGAGGCTGAGATTGGTGTTCTGGACTTAACTAGCTGGTCTAGGCTAGCCGGGAAGCAGGACCACTTAGGACTCTAGGTTGATCGCGGGTGTTTTATGCGTCACTGGTTCGATCGATAATTCGCTGCTCTCTGGTTGACTGTATCGTTGCGTTATACAGTAACAGGGCACACAGATTCACAAGTTATAACACTATTCACTATCCATCTATGCTTATAATGCTTGCGACCTAAGTTCATATCATGACAATTAGCACAGAATGCACATATACTAACAAGAGACTCATCAAATGCAGTCCTAAACATCAATGGGAAGATACAAGTAAAACAACTCCAAGTGAACTTTGAAAACTTAGTTCACACTCACAGACTAATATTAAATCAATGATCAATGAAATCTTCGATGTTTATGATTTTTGCCTGAGAGATTTGCTCTGCTTTCCTATGTGAATATAAATGAAGATCTTTTCCAAAGTGAAACTATTTAAATAGAAATAGTATGATATATCGAAGAAGCTAAGCAAATCATTTATGTTTAATGATAGCTTGAACAACAGTTTGCTAACTTGCTCATAAACGTATTCATTTAGTGATGAAGTTCTCCAGGCAACCTTGTTTCCTTCCTATGACTTAGTAACTATCACTAAACATAGGACAATACATTGTAATTGAAACGAACTGCAAAAATATAACGATACGAAATAGTATTCTATTAATCATTTGAAATCCTAATTGAAAACAGTGTATATCGTAAAATTGAATAGTTCCCATAGATTTACACAAATATGAATTATGTGCTTAGTTGCGATTCACTCTCTCATTATTTCTTTCAAATCAATTCAGAAACGGTAATCAGTGGTCGGTGAAGCATAATCGTAATGAAATAGATTTTACTAACTGTAATCAATAAAAGTTATACAATATCGAGGACTTTTCTCCGTTAGATACTAACTTAATGATTTATGAGTAATGCATTCTCTGTATGGATTGAGAATCATGCGTTCGACCCCGAGTGAAGTTATGTTTGTGTACTATTAAAGAGCTTACTAATAGCACAATGTTATCTATTGACTTTTAGTTGTTTAGCTAAAGACAATTTTTAATGTAAAACTATAAAGTAATTTTATTATCATAAAATAAAGTAGATTATTGTTTATTTTTAAACTTACAGTAACCAATCAACCGCTAAAATTAAAGAAATATCTTTTGTAGGCAATCCAACAGATGTAAGCACTAACATCATAGTAACTAAACCAGCGCTTGGAACACTCGCCGCTCCTATTGCTGCCAACGTTGCTGTTAAACTGATAAAAATAATTTATAGAAAATCATTTAATAAACAAGTTAATAGAAGTTTTAAAGCTTAATTGATACACTGTTAACTGATTACGGATCTTTCTTCATTATTCTTAATTAATCATTACTAGCTACCTTATAAGTAATATCACAGAAGTATCTTGTAACTAATGTATATATTAACTGTAAGTCACTTGGTTATTTGGTTAACATTTCGGAATCACATTACTGAGAAGAAAAGTTATCATTTATCCAAGTTTTATTTTTTTTCTTCAGTCAATTGTACCATTCTAACACTAAACAATATTAACAAATTAGATTATATACATTTGCGTATATACTAAAGGTCAAAGAACATACTGCGTCGGGAAATGGAAACAGATATGAAAAGGATCAATAGCAATTGGAAAGGATTACCTAGGGCAGAGTTGAATGGAGAATACTGGTGAGCGACTTATGCTCCTCTATGTGGGATAAATAACAGTAGTAATTAAGTAATATATATATATAAATAGATTAAAGTTATCAAATTTTAAATAGATCACTATATAATGCAGTGATTCATACAAGTTATACATTAGAAAAACCAGATGTAATTAAGATCATGAAACAACCAATGTTAAACCACCACTGAAAACCTGGAAGCACTGGACAGTCGTTTCGTCCTAGTAGGGGACTCCTCAACAGTGAGCATACGCAATCTCACCCGCGGGCTTCGAACTATTTTTGTTTACAAGTGCATCTACTAAGTAGGTTGTCTATGAAACCTATAAAACTTTACCTTGAAGATGTCATTAGACATTGGTAAATTAGTTTATTGTTAAATATATAACATTGAGTTCTCGAAATATTATTATTCCACCTAGTTAGAATTATTTGAGATTAAGTTATAAGATGAAAATTTCCCCCAATTTAGTAATTAAATGATTTAATAGATGAATTCATGAGTCAATTGAAGCTAAACCACAATGGAAAGCCTTGAAGCACTGTTTCGTCCAAGTATGAGACTCTAGTAATCTGCATCCACGAAACGACCGTCCAGTGCTTCCGGGTTTTTCATGGTGCTTTAGCTTCACTAGACTCATAAATTGATCTATTAGATATCCACATATTGATTAAAATAATAATATCTCTTAGTATATAACATAACCAATATTTAATTCAACTTGTAAACTGGTATTGGACCATATTGTTACTAATATTTTTCACTGAATTTCGATTCTAAAACCATCATAAGATTGAACTTAAATCCATTCACGTTGCATAAGCTAGTGGTTATGTGTACTTAATGTCTAAGTGGATAATGATTTGAGTGTTTGAAGCTATAGACAGTGTGGTTGAAAATCCTCACTGAGATTACAGTACACTCAGCCAATGAGTCTGAAACAGGAGAAAATAAATATTGTGACTTCCACTACTAGACACATTCTATCTTTTTTCTATTTGAACTTTATCAAGAAAATTGGATATACGAAATCATGATGAACATAATCCATATTCTACTGATAGGATTCTAGAACATCCAATTTTATGCATACCACTTTTCCTACCTGAATAGTTGGACATTTATAAAACATATTTAAATTATGTGTAACTAATTAAGATAACAATATTTATGGTTAGAAAAAAGGTTATTTTCTAACTAAATTCATTCAAAATTAGGCAAACTTCATTTTTTTTCAAAACTGGATATTGGCTAGCAGTGGAATACTGGACGCGCGTTTCGTCTTATCTGGGACTTGTCAACTGGATGTACCTGCTTCTGAGAGATGATGTTCACTTTGAGACTAGAACTCAGTACTGTTCACTCCAAACGCCATCACGTTATTCACTTAGTGATGTGTCCTGATAGCCACTTGCTCGTGCAATGTGAAGTTTAAATTCACTTGATATTGTTTCTTTGAATCTCTCATTGACATTTAGCACTTTATTTAGAACTTTATTTCTATCCATAGAAGTGGATTGTCTCTTTTAAAAATACTACAAGTGATGTAATTTTATGTTTAATTATAATATGCACTACATGTTAATAACTAGTTGACTTTTTCAGTGATAAAGAATGGTATAGTTTTGTTGAAATAGTCATAATCAATAAGACCTTGGCCAAAAGTATAGGTGGTTTTGCTTGAACGCTTATATACTACTTACAACTTTTGTTAATAGTATAAAAATTATCACTAAGGTTTAATTTGATAAATGAGTGGAAAATTACAGTGATTGTCACTGTAGAATACAATTATTTGAGATTAATTCAAAACGAGTATTGACTCTTTACAATTTATTTAAGATTTGAACTGTTTCGACATTATCCTTGGTTTGGTATGTTATCGAGGATCATAAGAATAAAACGTATCACTTATTTATTTATTCATTTGAACACATAAATATTGGTAGAAAGGAGCATCGAATACATATGCACCACACAAGTCACTTGATTTGTGTGTGGGCTCTGATACTCCACAGCTGCCCAAACCGAAGCAGGTGGTTTTCTTAGAGGTCCACACTAATTATTGGTCATTGAGTACCACGTGACTGCATTTTCTGACGTTGCTACAGTGCCTTGTGGATTACTTCTTTTGGTCAAAGGCTCCGAATGTGGCTCTCTCAGAAAACCACCTGTTCCAATTTGGGCGTGCAGGCAGTATTACAGCCCAAACACAAATCAAGTGACTTGTGTGGTGCATATGTTTTCGGTGCCTCCTTTTACCAATGTTTATGTGTTTAAATAAATTTAAATAATAGAATACATTACCATTACTGGAAAAAAAAAACAAATAAACGCACTCATTATTTAAAAAATGTGTAGGTGTTTGATTTCATAAATATTTAAATAATTAGCATTGATTGAGATCATCAACCGATCTGAGTTTGAAAACCATCGAAAATCTAAACGTAACGAACAACCAATTCGTAGTATCATAAAACTTCTTAGCAGTGAGTATCTACTACTCATCAACTAGGAACCAAACACAGAACCTTTGTTCTCATGAATGCTTACTTCTGAGGAGTCCCATATTAGGACGAAACGGCCGTTTAGTGTTTTTAAATTTTCAATGCTGATCTAACGTTGATCGGTTCATCATCTCAATTTCAATCTAACAATCTCCACAACCCCATATGCCAGAGAATATCTATCTATGATCATTTTAGTTCATACTTAGTTGATTAATTTGAAATGGTTTATAACTGAGGATATTTTCAAATGAATCATATTGCAATACAATAATACATTTAAATAACACTTTTATTACTTGTCAGTAATTAAAACAAGAATAAAAATAGGATTCTAATTATAATCAAACTAACAATAGATGATCCTGAAACAGGTACATCAATAAATAAACAAAAACTAATTTGACTCAAAGATAAGAAACAAACTATCAAGGGAATTAGAATTGAATAAATAAAACAATGAGTTGTTGTTCATTTTGTTCATCATTTATTTTTCTTTAATTCTATTAACTATTTCGCTTATTTTAATAATTGAATTGATGAGTCAATTGAAACTAGACCACTATGGAAAACCTGAAAGTACTAGATGGCTGTTTCGTCCTAGTGTGGGATTCTTCAGCAGAGCGCATCCACGGCTCCGCCTTGTGACATTCGAACCCAAGACCTATTAGTCTCGTGCGCAAACGCTTAACCACTAGAGCACTGAGCCGGCCGACATCCAACGGTGTTAATGTTTAACTTTAACCAATTCATGAAATTACACCACCGTTCACTATTGTCTTCAGTGAGGTACTATCTCACAACAGACTTGGTTGATCTACAATGGGTAGGACTTCTCACTAGAACTCCAAGAAATACCTCTTGAAGCTAGTCACGAGTGAGCTTATGATGATTATAACCGGACAGGGGTTTTGTGGAGATTTTAGTGATTTAATAATTGAATTCATGAAATAATTGAAACTAGACTACCATGAGGAACCTGGAAGTACGTTTTGTTCAAAACAGTATGAGAATGATGGACAGGTTAAGTATGCAACAGAAATATATAATTTTTAAAAGATAATTACTGTTTGTAAATTATGTTAAAATAAGTAAGATTGGAATGGTGAACAGAAAAAAACAAAACGAACGAATACACACGTTTTAATAGTTGAATTCATGAGTTGATCTAAGCTAGACTACCATCGAAAACCTGAAAGCACTGGACCCCTCATCAGTGAGCATATACGATACCACATATTGGATTCGAACCCAGGACCTTTGGTACCATGCGCGTACACATAACCTGTAGACCACTGAGTCGGTATCCAACGATGTCAATGTATAATTTCAATCGATCCCTGATCTCGTGCAACCCTTTATTCACTATCTCTGAATTGGATAACTGTCTACATCCAACAGATTGGACTCCACTGATCAAGGCTATTTTGAACCAATGATGAATATAAAACTAGCTTATCATTTAATAAATAATTACTAATTTTTACTTATACTTCATTTTATTCTTTAGCACGCAAAATCTGTTGTTAGTTGTACATAGATACTTGAATGAAAGGTCAGATCAAGAGTTGATCAATATTTTGAAGATGTTTACATCATGAATTGAAAACCATTGGTAACCTGGAAGGATTGTATATTTCTTTCGTCCTCATATAAGACTATTGAGTAGCATGTACATAGGACCTAGCCATAAAAAGAGTGTAGTCGTTTTCATTTTTAATCATTCTTTTGTGCATGAATTAGATTAGCATTGATGTCAACCTTTCAATGATTTGAGAACTCCCACTTCCCAATAATACTTAGTGTGACTACTTTTAGCGAAACCTGTAAATGAGGTAACGCACTATTCACCTATCCTTAATCACTTTACCCGTTCCCGAGTAACGACCTTTTCTACATGCAATCAAGTTTTATCTGCATCGAGAACGAGAATGGACTGTCATAGGTTTGCGAATAAGCAAGTTATCTTTAAACAACTTTCGTATCATTTTACGCGAGTTAGCATTTTGAATGGTTGCAGTTTCATTAGGATCTAGCCAAATCTTTTTTTCGCAACCGATTACTGTCGAAGCTAAACGGTTTTGAGCACATAGATTGCACATTTCACTGCAATGATCTTTTGAGAGCCGAAAAGTGACTGAATTTTTATAGTTTTGTTAGGAATCTTATGAATTCCACTATAAATTTATGAATAATTCAAAATTTTACTTTACATATCTTATAATCTAGCTGACAGTACTTATATTAGTTAAAATGTTGAATATTTTGATTTGGAAAGTTCATTTCTATGTTATATTCACTAGTAATAGTGTAGTGTGTTCTACTGATCTCGACAGTTATAAGTAGTACATATCATCAATTGAAAGTGAAATGCCTGGAGGTATAAGGTTAAGAAGATCAAAGAAAAGAGAACGAGAACAAATGATGACTGTAGTAGGATTGAAAGAACAATGAAGTCTGAGACAAATGACGTAGTTCTCAGATTTTACTAAGATGTTCTGTAATTTTATATTCAATTACATTCAACTGTCTCCCCCCCCCCCGCCACTGTAATAGTAATGGTGTACAGAACTGAGAAGAAATAGTTCCAGGATGAAATAAATGACTTTCGAAAATGTCTGTTTCGTTAGAGTTCACACTTAAAAAAGAATGGGATTCGCATAGTGTTTACTGAAAAATGTTCTACAGTAAACTATAATGTGAAACGAAATAATTACGTCTGATATTATACAACAACAGCCTAATGATCTCAATTGACTGTCAATCGTTGTGTTGTAAATATATACATCCAAATTTCTACAGTAATTCGTATAGTTGGGTAGTGTCACCTCCATCTTTAGATAATTAATTGTTTACTTCATGCTTCAAAATATCTTCCTTGTAAAATGCTATACTCGACTAATTCCAATGCTCTTGTAGTGTCGGTTACTATGTTAAGCCCACATAAGTTATTCTAGTTTCTGGATAGGATAATTTATCCATTCTTTTTGATTCACGTTTTGACCCTGTTACCTATAATCTTGTCAACCCCTGACTGTTTTTATATGAGCGTATGTATGTGTACACTTCTTATTCTATTCATCACATATCTGTAACTTATTTTTATCTGGCTATAAATATGAATTACCGCTTGATTAAATGTAGTTGGTTCACATGCCTTCTTCATCGCACATCATTTCATTTCGTTCCTTTGATCGTCTGCCTGGATCAATGATCCTTCCTCATATTTGATTTATTTTAACACCATTATTCACTAACGCTAATTAAGTCAACGAGGATTGACGATATAAATATCTCAATATCAATCATTCGTACGATCCAAATAGATTCAGATAAGGGTCCCACACTCTACGTTTATTATCCTCATATAATTTGGACTCAAATCAAGTAGTGTGTTATTGCATAATCGAATAAAGGTTCAAATTCTAATTATACTTGATCTAATTATAATCATTCTCTATTGTTTCCTTTGTTTTTTTGGGGGGACTTACCTTACAATAAATACTTCAATAATTGTCAAATATTTTCCATTAATTTGTGCAATAAAAATTGATGCAACAGCTTCATATAGTGCAGTTCCATCCATATTGATTGTTGCACCAATAGGTAGAACAAAACGTGTTACACGTTTATCAATGCCTAGATTTTGTTCTAAACAACGAAATGTAATTGGTAGAGTAGCTGCACTGGATGCAGTTCCAAGTGCTGTAATCCAAGCCTTTTGTAGGTTGTATAAACAGAGTGAAAAAAGATAGAGAGAAATAATACAATTCAGTATTACTGATAATAGTCATAGTAGTGAAACATGCTATATATATAAAAGAGATTAACGACCATTCATCTCCAGCAATAAGCTATATGGTCAATTATGTCAGTACGATTCTGTTTCATATATAATAAGTAAAATGTATATATTTTAAATTAGGTGCCTGTTGTTTCTCTAAACAAAAAAAAAAACAGACAAAGAGAAGAATACACAAACCCCTATGGTGTCCCCTTTTGAGTTTTTCTGTATTAGATATCATGATAGGAAGTACAATATATATTGCATTATGAATCATTCATTTAAGCATTAATTTTGATAAATGAACGAAAACTAACAGATAGGATTCACTGTTCACTTATCTGCTGTTTAAAGATGAACTATGGAAGACATAAGCTTTTCAAGCAATGATGGATTGTGGCTAGCAATGGAATCCAGGATGCGTGTTTACTCGAAAATGAAGATTCTAGGTTAGATTCCTATGTGCGAAATCGTGAATGGAAATATCTGAGGAGTCCCATAGGAGAACGAAATGGTCGTCCAGTGCTTCCAAGTTTTCAATGGCTATCTAACATCTATCTATTCATGAATTCAATGGGACTCAACACATTCCACAACCGTATACTTGCATGTGTTCATTTATTCCTACTACATTACAGTTAACGTTCTGTGAATAGTAATATAAGTTAGAATCAATTGTCCTTTGTCTCTCTCATTGTTGTCCTGTTTGGTAGTTTAGTGAGCGAAGATGTTGTGGAGTTAACCAATTTATTGTCTCATACAAAATTGCAAAGTTCTTTCTTAAAATATGAAAACCATATATTAAATACTTCATTTGAAAATCTTCCATTAATTGTCCTTTATGTCTTTCATAAATCTTTCAATTCACAATATCTTCCTGTTTTCTTCAATGCTATCTTCTCAATCTTCTTCTTTCAGGCCCTCAATCTCTGACCAGTGTTATATATTACTTATGCCTGTCGATTTATGTAGCATACAGCATAGTTGTAGTAAAGTAAAGGAAAGCCCAGAACAGAGTGGGTTAGAGAATACTGGTCGGTGGCTTATGCTCCATTAGGAGTAACAAGCGTATGTAAGTAAGTCATATTTTAATATATTCATCGTAACTTGACATTATTGACTTAATTTAATGTCTTCACTGATACACTTAACACTTTGTTGGAAAGAAGCGTGAAATACTCTTTCGTATACGAGTTCATTAGTTGTTGTTTTCTTTTAAATAAAAGAATGTGTACGAAAAAAAAACCACTTAATACCCTAACAACAAGTACTTGATCACTCATTTATACTATCAGAGAAAAATTTATATACATTTCACTTATTCGTTTCAATCTATTAACTTGATAATAATTTACATTAGATCTTATTAAAACTACCTTCATTTAAAAAAGAGAGAAGGAAAAGAAAAAGAAACTGTACAATCGACAAAAAAACGAAATCTATATTTTCACTTAAGTGTAAAAGAAGAGATAAGATTAGTATCTAAACCAAAAAAAATTAGATAACAATATCTAAGGTCTATTTATGATTAACAACCGATTCATTTACCCCACCCCACCCCACACCACACCACTCCACCCCCTCCTAAAATGAACTAACTTACATCATTTTTTTCTTTTCTTTTCTTTTTTAATTCTACGATAAAGTTTAGTTAGTTGTTTTAATTCTTCTTCTATTCTAGTTCAAGTAAATCAACCACTTCATTTTACTGTTCACATTAAAATCTCTTTTGAGAGGGTATAAATTGTATTTTTTGTTGTTGTTGTTGTTGTTGTTAAGATGGAGGGGGGTTAGGTCTTTATCTTACTTGATTTATTTACATACAATTGGATTAGATTAAAACGTATCCACTATGAATATAAATTATGTCTTGCTCCTTCCTTGTGTGTGCATGTGTACATTTATATATATATATGTGTGTGTGACTGCGTGTGAGGTTAATCTTTTTTTCTACCATGGTAAACTGAAAAGCGAATAACCATTTTTTCATAATCTATTTTCTAATCTTATCCAAAGCAAAACAAAAAAAAATAATTATTTTTTTGTAAATTTAATGAAGGATTTATTTGTCGATGAAATTTGAGTGTTGTAGGGAGAATGAACGAATGATAACATGATTTTAATAAATATGAAGTTCAACGAAGGGATCTCTTTTCAAAGAAGCTGTACAATCGTATATATAAAGTTAAAGTACTAGTTCCTTGAAGAAATGTGAAAATGAATAACCAAGATGATATAATAGAAAGATTATAACACTAGATTAGGTAATACGAATACTAACAATAGTTTTAGATTCGAATACGGGGATACGTCCCAGTTTGGTTCTTCAAAGGTGAGAGGAAAGCAGTTATGAGTTCTATGCTTGAACAGCTAATCGACTGTAATCATATTACGGATCCATAGTTTGATTTTAAGGTTGTTTATATGATTCGTCCAAATCTACCTAGATTTCTTAGTATCCAACTCCTAAAAATAACCGAAGCTCTTACCATCCATGAGCTCAAAGTAGAACTATGCGTACAAAAGGAATATGTCCTATCGTTATCGTTACCTTGGTTTTAATTATTATTATTGTTATTGCTGCATTCCCCTTTACTTGTGTCTTATATTCCCATTATTTTATTCATAAATACTGATAGCATCCGGCCAATGGATGTTGAGTATCTTGGATAGACAACTATTTATAATTACTTGTACATTCTTGATGTTGATTGTGGTAGTTCTCCAAGTTTCAGCTCCGTACAGTAGTCTTGGCGTTCGTATTCAAGATTGTGACTTTGATATTGGTTAACAGTTGTTTTGAGTTGCAAATGCTCTTCAATTGTAGGAATGAGACCCTTGCTTTGATAATCTTCGCCTTTACGTCTGCATGTGATCTTCCTTGCTCATTGATGATGCTTCTCAGGTACATGAAGGGTTTCATATCTTCCAGAGTTTCGTCATCAAGTGTGATTGGGTTGATGTTCTCTGTGTTGTATTGGCGGACCTTGATTTTGCTCTTGTGTATGTTAAGGCCTGTTTTTGCAGAGGCTGCTGCTACACTAGTTGTCTTCATCTGTATTTGTTCGTGTGTATGGGACAGGAGGGCCAGGTTATCTGAGAAGTCCAAATCTTTTGATCGATTCTGAGCTATCCATTATATTCAATGCTTCATTGTCTAACTTCAGTTCTTCAGCTGGTATATTTTCTGGTCCTGCTGCTTCCCTGCTCTTGATTTGTCTGATGGCCAACCTGATTTCTTCCGTCGTTGCATTCACTAAATCTAAATCCATTGTTATTACTCGTATTACGTAGTCTAGTATTATAATCTTTCTATTACATCATCTTGGTTATTTATGTTCACACTTAATAGGGGAATTAGTACTTTAACAAAAGATTTTCATTTATATACGATTGTACAGCTTGATAATAAGTTCGTTGAAAAGAGATCCCTTCGCTGAACTTCGTGTTTTTAATTTAGAATGATTTTAATAGTTGAATTCATGAGTCCATTTAAGCTAGATCACTATTGAAAACCTGGAAGCATTGGATGGGCATTTCGTTCTAATATAGGACTCTACAACAGTGCGCATCCACGATTCCGAATATGGAACTTGAACACAGGACCTTCGGTATTTCACGTTACCTCTGAACTTTTAGAAAACCGAGCTTTAGTCGACTCATGAATTCAGGTATTAATGTTACTTTAATCACCGCGAACCGCAATTCTGATAAAAATGATAACATAGTTGAGCATAGAGATATAAACATTTTTAAGTCAGGAAATAATCAGTAATGTTAACGATTTTACAACTAAATTAAATGATTATTAAAACTAAACGCATAGGTCTAAATAAATTATAATCCCGAACATTCGCTTTTCGTCCTCTCAATTTCGTAAACAAAACCCCCCACTACGAGAAGGCAGTGAGTAGGACTCCCCTGGTAGTGGCTGTATACGCGTGTCCATGTGAGAGCATTTGTAAAGGGTAAGCTGACTTTCCTCATCCTCGATCGTACCAGGGCATTAAATCAATGCGAAGTACAGCATGACGAAATGTTGAGCTACCTATATGAAAGGATGATCTATAATGAGCTTTAATAAATCATCATATGAATGATGACTTAAGTTTGAAATGAACTTAGTTATCTATTTGATTCATTTGCAGTTACCTACAATGTACTGTTAAATTCATCTCAGTTTAGTTATCAGTACTCAATTTCAGACAAGAAATTCATTTGAACAGAAAATATATGTACATGTTCAATTTTTTTAAACTAACCAAGACTTATCATATGAAGTGAACTTGAATTGAAATAAACTATGAATAAGTAGCTTATGTTTGTTATTACTTTCAATATATAAATGAACAAAACTATAATCTTATTCAAAATTGTCACTTTTCACAAAACATATTGAGATCTCAATTCAACTGATGTGTCCCAACTAGGACGAAACACGCCTCTTGTATTCTACTGCTAGCTATTATCCATCTTTGCTTATTATTGTGAATCAATGATTATTTTTTTTTAAGAAAAAAAAATGTGATTATTATTCATATTGGAACAATGTCATAGTTACTCACTTGAAATAAACCTTTATAGAATGTGAATGGATTTTTTCTTGTTACCGAATAATAGAGTAATGCTAATGTACCAAGTAAATGTATAGCCAAACCAGTAATTACAGTTATCATATATAAACCTAATGCTTTTGCTGTATCACTTAAATTTTCAATTTCTAACATTTTACTTAATATTAGAAAGAATATACCAAATGGTGAATATCTGAAATGGAATAAATAAATAAGAGATAAATTATTACAAAAGAACAACAAAGGATTTAGAAGAACAATAAACAGATTGGAATTATGGAAATTGACTTACATTGTAATAGTCAAGGTAGGCGTATCATTTGATTATAACCATAGTAACTCTGCTACGATGTATTTCGATCATGGTCAATCTTTGTCAAGTCCTTTGATTAACTTATTTAACAGACAATGTTATTTGGATAGTAACAATTCATCTATTTCTTTATATCATTGTAATCATTATCATGTCTGTATAAACTTGTAAACTTGATCACATGTGATAGCTATGCACATACCACTTTTTAGTTTAAGAGTTGATCGCTATGGCAGTGTTTGTCACTGAAAGGAGTACCAAAGAAGTATATTAACCTTGTAAAGGCTCTCTAATCGAACACAACTGGTAGAGTGAGAGCTTATGACAAACTGTCATCAGAATTGATTACCTCAAGTGGTGTTCGTCAGGGCTATCCACTCTCTCCATTCTTGTTTAACTTTATCGTAGACATACTTATATAGATAACACTTTCCTTATCCGAATTTCCAGAGGTTGAACTTCTACCGGGAGATTCACTTGTTGACTTAGAATATACCGATGACATAGTTCTATTTGGTGAAGACATTGACAAAATGCAGTCTTCTGACCACTCTAAGCAACAATGCAAGTATTTTCGGGATGCGATTCTCCCCCTCGAAATGCAAAATGTTGCTTCAGGATTGGGTTACATCGACATCCGAACTAGTGATAGGTAGTGAAGTAGTTGAGTGTGTCGACCGCTTCACTTATCTTGGAAGTCTCATCCGCCCTTGTGGTTTGGTGTGTGACGAAATCTCAGCACGGATACAGAAGGCTCGACTAGCCTTTGCCAACTTGCGTCATTTATGCCGTAGGCGAGATATCCGTCTATCAATTAAAGGACGTGTTTACTGTGCAGCGGTTCGTTCCGCCCTATTTTATGGCAGTGAAACATGGCCGGTAAGAGTAGAGGATATTCGTAGGTTACTAGTATTTGATCATAGGTGTCTTCGAAACATTAGTCGTATATCCTGGGACCATCGAGTAAGTAACGCGGTTGTTAGGAAACGGGTACTAGGTAAGGATTGCAAATCAAGTGGTGAAACTTCATCAGTTGAGATGGCTGGGACACGTGTTATGTATGCCCAACGACCGACTGCCACGACGTGCGATGTTCAGTGGTATAGGAGTAGGTTGGAAGAAAGCTAGGGATGGCCAGACCAAAACATGGCACAAGTCCATGAAGTCACTGACAAGTGGACTATGCCATGTTGGTAGGTGTAGACTACCTGGTTGGGGACCGCGAGATGATAGCAACCGATGGTTAGAGACCTAGAATGACATGGCTCAAAATGGTTTGCAATAGCGCAGGTGCATCCACTCTTTGTGTTCTCCCAAATTCTAATCTGAATTATTCATGTCCCCTTCCTTTTTCCTCTTTCCAAATTTCTTTCTCTGTATTATACTCCTTGAATGACATCTTCAAACCCTAATGCTTCCGATTACTGCTTATACTCTTACCACCTCTACCACTATGGGATTTGAATCGACCACTGCATCTCTTTGCTAATGTGGTATGGCAACTCGAACTGATGTACGTACGTACGAAGTTCTACGTTGTTACTGACTGACTGACTATTGATCGTTTAAATATTACTCGATCAACCATTCTCTTTACCATGTATATATGCGCTCGAATCCTATTAATAGCCGTTACCTTGCTTAACTGCGCCTTGATTCGATTTGACTATGAATTCGCCTCTGTATTCACCGGATACAATTGTAATTTTATTACCTGTGTTATCATCCACTAATAAACTATAGTCGCCTCTTCTTATTGCCTTCTGAATTTAAACACCGTTGGGATTTATATAATAGCGGTTATCAAGGTGATTAATTAACAAAGCTAAGCCCCAGTACAGACAGATTTTACCAAAGATTAATAAATTCGAAATCTCCAAACATTTCAATATCAGTGTATCTTTCATATTTTCTCAAAATATGATTGACTGTTCGATGAATATTTGATAAATTGAAAGGGTGAACTTTAAAATGTCATCTCCTGAACTTCATCATCAAATACGAAGTAATGTAATACTTAGCAGGTTCACAATATTCATATGTGATTAGATATCTGTATGAAGAAAAAGTCTAACATTTGTGCAAAACTGGATGTTTTCCACAGAGTGTTCACTTTGAATACAAATTTCTGCATTGACAAAACGCTGATATTATAAAATGATAAGACTGTTTATTGTCATTACGAAATAAATTGGTATTTGATACTCATTAAAACGATAGAATCAATTAAAATATAATTGACGATGAAGACTACTTTATTTACTAACCACTAATTAGTTATTCTGCTTGTCTTCATCTAATCACTGATGTGCACAAATACTTGGTTGACAGCATTCGATCTACACTAAGAAGGACCTGACATACATAACATTGATCACTACCCAGTAATAAATCAATTGTAAATATATCTCAGTCCTAAACGAGGTCAGTCGTGGCCCGGATAGCTCAGTGGTAACGTCTCCCTGAAGATTATAGGTACACCTTGCTGACATGTGCCAAATAACACGAAACCTAGGTCCAGGGTTTCTTGTTGACTAACTCCAACCACAATCTTATCTCAACATAGTGTACGCAATGTCAAGTCACCTAGACTGGTGACCATATTGCGACTTGGTCGATAGGATTCGATCTACACTAAGAAGGACCTGACATACATGACATTGATCACCACCCAGTAATCACTCAACTGTAAATGCATAAATACTGTCTTATAAAACATATTTTACAACTAGTATTAACATTTGCATCACATCAGTAGAAAAATAAGCATTTTAAGCGATACTGTATGCTCTGAATTTATATCATGTTCAGTCTAACATCCATTTCTTATCTCTCATTAATAAAAACTATCATAGTTCCAATTGAACTTTATTCAACTTTGTATTGAGTAGATATTTAATTTATGAAACTAATTTCCCATATTGTCATATGGTTAGAGGTAAGGGAAAGGAATACCTTAATCTAGGTTTCGGCCAGACCAAGACCTATCAACTGGTAGTAATTTGACCTAACAATCTAAAGTCTAAACACAATGCAAATGACTGTGAATCAGTTACACCTGGCACAACACTACAACACGATCAGCAGAACTCTATGACTATCACTGAGGATTGAAAACATGATAATGATTATTATTCAGTGATTTATCAATTTCTCTTTCAATAATCATTGATTTGATAATTATATACATACAATTTTATATTATCACAAGTAAAGTTTACTTACAACATAATAACTTGTACCATTCTCATGACAACTTCATTAAGAACAGAGAAAAATTGTACCATAGTTACAGCACGATCACCCATTTGACCAAGTATTATACCAAATATAATTGAGAATGACACCAATCCTAGAATTGTTAAAACAAAACATTTATAAGAAGCATTAATCTATTATATCGTTTAAGTATAACATATATCGTTTATAGTTTGAACTGATTTGATTAAAACAAGCTTTAATCAATGTTATTGTTATGACTTTATGTTGAGGTCGATTTCTACCCTGTGTTATCGATCGATTCGGTGACAGTGACACGTAAACACGAACGGACGGCCTAGAGTTTCGATTGGTCCCACTTCCCTGTCTAGCCTAGTTAGTTGAGTCCAGAACACAAGTCACAGCCTCGGAGATATGAATCATTATATTTCAAACATACTTTGTTTATATACCAATCAAGCATCCCACATCGTACCATAAAAACAGATATCGACCAATAGAAAATGTCCATTTAAAGTCCAAGGACACCATTGGACTTAACATGATAATTATTGGTCTATTCCTCTGCATCCACAACAGTTATGAATCTTAATCTGAATAGAATAGATTAGCAGGATTATAGTTGACACGATTATAAGCTTTTTATAAGATTATATCTTACTTACTTAAGCCTATACCCCTTATGGATGAGCATAGGCCATTCACCAGCACTCTCAATTCAGCTCTGTCCCAGAGAAACCATCCTAGTTGCTATTCATTCTTTTCATGTATGCTTTGAATTTCCAACGTAGTGTGTTCTTAGGCTTTCCTCTTCTTCGTTTCCCTCGAAGATTCCAAGTTAGTGTTTGCCTAGTGATACAGTTTGATGATTTCTGTAATGTATGTCCTATCCACTTCCAACGTCTTTTTCTAATTTCCAATACAGCTGGAAGTTAGTTTGTTCTCTCCCACAGTAGGTTGTTGCTGATGATATCCGGCCAACGAACAGTCAGTATCTTGCATAGCCAATTGTTAATAGATATTGTACATTATTGATAATGGTTGTGGTAGTTCTCCACGTTTCAGCTTCGTATAGGAGAACTGTCTTGACGTTCATATTGAAGATTCTGTCTTTAATATTGGTTGACATTTGTTTTGAGCTCCATATGTTATTCGATTCTAAGAATGGGGCCCTTTCTTTGCCAACCTTCGTCTTTACGCCTGCATAAAATCTCTCACGTTCACCGATGATGCTGCCCAGATCATTGAGAGTTTCCACACTTTTCAGAGCTTCTCCATTAAGTGTGATTGGATTGGTGTTCTATGTGTTGCACTTGAGGATCTTGCTCTTTCCTTTTTGTATGGTGAAAGACTATATCTTGCTGTTTTGAAATAAATTTCTAACAAATGTCATTAATCATTTAAACTGAAATACGATATATTGAGATATTGTCAATTACTCTGTTAGGGAAATTTCAAATACGAATACCAATTATCTTGGTGCAATCTTTTCCTCTGATCTATTTCAGTCTTCTCTTTACTGCCATCGGAGAGAATTTCTACGTGCTTTTGGAATTACTCGACATTTACTCTTACAGTTGGTCAATTCTTGCATATTACCTGTTAGTCTTTACTGTCCTCCATTACTCCCTCCCGTGCCTTACAGAAAAGACCACTGTATTGTGGAGAGTTCTGAACGCAGTTATCAGGGTATGTAGTGAATCGTTTAAGGCCATTATTAGTATGGTGGTGGCTAGACATCTCAAGTCTTCCATATTCCAGTGAGGTATTATCTTATCAGATACTAACCATCCACCTTCACTGATATCTTTCTCCTTGTATATCTTCTGGTAGAACGAGACGTCAATACATTAAAACCCATGCACGCAAGCAAAGGTATAAAAGTTCCATAATACCTTATCTAGCAAATTTACCCTGTGATGAGCAAGTGGTTAAAGTTGATCTTATCAATAACCTACATTATTAAACATATTTCTAATTGAAATGTTGTACAGATTCAAATCCTTTTGCACCCTTTTCTTCTTTTTTTGTAAAAGAAATTCGCAGAAATGCCTCGTGCTGAGAATTCTATATTGTAGCAAAATATAATAATGAATGAAGCCATTAATAATAACAATAATCCACAGAATCTAGCCATATTTCGTAATAAGGCGGTAGGACATAATTTCTTTTTTAGCAATCAGTTAATCAACTCGTACTTCTTTTTCACATCTATATCATTTAACCTAACTTTTGTTCAAACCTTTTAGATTAGCACAGTTGATCCGATTGTTCGATGCAGATGGTTAGTGTTCTCCGTGTTGTATTTGAGGATTTTGCTTTTTCCTATGTGTATGTTGATGCCTACTGATGAAGAGGCTGCTGCTACACTAGTTGTCTTCATGTGCATTTACTCGTGTGTATAGGATAGAAGAGGAACGTCATCTGCGAATTCCAAATGTTCTAATTGGTTGCGAGCTGTCTATTGCATTTCATGCTTTCCCTCAGATGTCGAGGTCTTTATAATCCAGTCGATCATCAGAAAAAAGAGGAAGGGGAGAGTAAACAGTCTTGCTTAACTCCGGTCTTTACTTGGAATTCATCTGTCAGCAGTTGAGTAGAACTCGTCATTATACATCAACTTCATTAACTATGAGAGGGCGTTTGACAGTGTGGATAGGGGAACATTATGGAAACTTCTTCGATACTACGATGTACCTGTAAAGATCGTCAACATTATTCGGAATTCATACGACAGACTACAATGCATAGTCGTGTATCGTGAACAGCTGACAGATGCATTCCAAAAAACCAAAGTATACTAACTAGTATCTAATCAACAACAATTTTCAATCAATTAATTATTATACTATCAGTACAACGTTCAAAAAAGTTATTGACGAGATCTACAATTATGATTTTTCATTGAATACAATCTTATTTACAAAATGATATCAACTTCATTATCATTGAAAATTTAAATAAGTTTTCCATCTTCATTTAAGAATCCTTTAAATACTCTCATCTGAGACCTTTTAGTTTCGAAATAGTCAAAATATTATTATATGCTCCAAAATTGAAATCTGATAGTCTATTGTTCATCACATTCAAATATCCTAACCTTAAACATGATTATCACTGTGAAAATACAACTAGTACCAGAATAATTTAAAAAGCAATACGAAGAAACAGAAAAGTAATATAATCAAAAGAGAGGTTTGTGGAGATTTTAGAAATTCAATAGTTGAATTCATGAGTCAATTAAAGCTAAACCACCATGGAAAACTTGAAAGCACTGGACAGCCGCTTCGTCTTACTGTGGGACTCCTCAGCAGTGCATATCCATGATCCTACCTCGCGAGATTTAAAATAAGGACCTATCAGTTTCGTGCACGAGCGCTTAACCACTAGATCACTGAGCCGGTCGACATTCAACAGTGTTAGTGTCTAACTTCAACCAATTCGTGAAATTGCGCTACCGTCCACCATTGTCTTCAGTGAGCTAGTATCTTACAGCAGATCTAGTTGAACTCGACTAGTCACAGCTTTGAACTAGAACTTCAAGAAATACATCTTGAAGTCCATCACTAGTGAGCACATGAGCACCTGTATTCGAATCCTGAGGGCAAGATCGTGAATACATACAGTTGAGGAGTCCCATACTATGACGAAACAGCCATCCAGTGTTTCTAGTTTTTCTATGGTAGTCTAGCTTCAATTGACCCATGAATTCAACTATTAAACAATAATATGGTTAGTATGTAATAAAACATGTAAATGGATAATGAGAAATAAGAAAACCCAAAAAAATTAGATTAAAACATGGTTAATTTATTGGTTATAATGAAATGGATGCCGATCTAGTTATTTGATCTTTGTGTGTGTGTGTATGTGTGTAGATCACAGATATGAAATAACCTCAATAGATGTAATCGATTTTTGTTTTTTTTTGTTTTTGTTTCTTTATTCTTAATTCCCCCCCCAATGAAATAATCGTAGTTGGATATTTTTGTAACGAAATTTGAATAATAAACAAAAAAAACATGGTGATTGTTAACATGGGACTGGATTTTGTTTCTTCCAATGTTTAATATGTTTTTTGAAATTTGATTCAGTTTTATATTAAACAAAGTGACGGATAATGAATAATGGAATTGATAGATTTTATCTATACAACTTAATCATTACGAATAATAATAGAGTGATTTCAATAGTTGAGATCATGAGTTGTTAGTAGCTAGAATAACATGAAAAATCTGGGAACACTAGATAGATGTTTCGTCTTATTGTGGGACTCTTCATCAGTGCATATTCATGCTCCCGTCCACAGTATTCAAACACAGGCGCTCATGTGCTCACTAGTGACTGACTTTGAGACGTATTTCCTGAAGATTTAATCAGAAGCCGTGACCAGTTTAGTTCAACCAGGTCTGTTGTGAGATAGTACCTTACTGAATATAATTCACTTGGTAATGTTTGTATCTTTTCATTGTTGTTTACGACTGCAATTGATCAGTCTCTTACTGGCATATATGCATTCTGTGCGCATTGCCTCGATATAGCCTTAATTCACAAGCATTATAAGTAAATTTAAACTTCATTCCATTGGCATAAGCAAGTGGCTATCAGGACTCAGTAAATAAGTGGATAATGCGATGGCATTTGAAGCCAATGGTACTGGGTTCGAGTCCCAGAGTGAACATCAACCCTGAGATGCAGGTACACCCAGCTGAAGAGTCCTAAATAGGAAGAAACGCTCATCCTGGATTCCACTACTAGCAACTACCTACCCTTTGCTTATAATTAATAAAATACTTTCCATTCCTTAATGAGTACCAATAATAGGAACAATAATAATTAGGTATTGTGTTGATATTCTTAACTCATTTATTCAATAAAATATGTTTACATAATAGTTCTATTATTCTGTGATCTCTTTTTAATTGTTACCTTAATCATTCATTATTATTATTATTCTGTTTATACATCATTCTTAATCATTTTCTATCATTAACCCCTGTCTTTATGAATTCTAATTAACCTAAAACAACAATTAAAGTAGAATAATATACATTCATTTTATTTCTGGTCACGTCACAAAAAAAAATATTTAAGGTTAAAAGGTGTAATCTAATCGATCATCGTTATGTCACCAACATTGTTACCAGACAGAAATACCTAACTCGTTTACGTTACTATCCGGTAAATTCAAACAGAATCTATGTGTTCAACTGTTGATTCATTACTATAATGATAAATCTAGAATTGTGATTGAAATCTTAATCTATTATTACTCTTATTCTGTTATCTAACCTTCACTTGGATAATTACTATTTTAATGGTTGAATTTATGAGTCGATTTAAGCTAGATCACCCTGGAAGACCTGGAAGCACTGGATGCCAGCTCATTGGTTAAGCGTTCTCGTGTTGGACCTATGGTCCTAGATTTGAATCCCGTATGCGAGTTCGTGTATGTGTACTACTGAACAGTTTAATACTAAGAAGAAACGGCCATATATGTATGCAACTAACTGATTACTGCGTAATAATAAATATCCTGTTTATTAATTCCTCAATACTGATCGAATTTTATCTAGAAAATTACAACGTGACTATCCATATGAAGAACTCGACATCATCTGCGCGATGTTGATATGTATGTTGGTTGAAAGCAGCCGATTGTACTTGGGTTTTTTCCCTGATTGACCCATATCAAATAGGCTTATATGTAGTCTAAAAATAGGTTAATCATGGCTCGAATAGTTCACTGTTTAAGGCTCAGATAGTGAAGCTGGACAATATAGGTTTAAATCCCATGGAGAATATAAGTTCACTCAATAATCCAGGTACACTTTACCGATGAGCAGTAACTAGCTTTAAACCTAGGTCAAGGGTTTCCTGTTGACTACTTCCAACCACCTAAACGATCATTATATTGTTTAAATTCTACAATACTTATAACATTAATTTTTTTTGTTCATCAGTTAAAGTTAGTGTGAAGAAAGAAAAGTTTCAACAAAACACTTTATGTACTCAAATAAAAATAAATGTGTGCTACATCTTGATGTGATGGTCTAACATTGATTGGTTCATAATCTCAATCAAAAACTTAATAATCTCCACAAACCTATACTGATAATTACCATGTGCTCAATAGTGACCAGCTTTATGAGGAAATTCTCGGAGTTCTAGTGAGAAACCGTGATCAGTGGAGCTATTCCGTGTAGGATAGAGACAGGTATCTACCTCAGTACAATGGAAGATGGTGGCGCAATTCCGTGGATTGGTTGAGGCTAGAAATTAACACCTTTAGATACCGGCTCAGTGGTCTAGACGTTAAGCGTTCACGTGAGAGACCGGGTTCGAATCTCGCGGGGAGCGGGATCGTGGATGTGCACTGCTGAGGAGTCCCACAATAGAACGAAACGGTCGTCGTGCTTCCAGGTTTTCAATGGTGGTCCAACATCAATCGGTTCATGATCTCAATCAAAAATATACTTGCGCTACTTCTTGATATGTCCGTTTGTTTATCTCATTCTCCTCTAATATTATTTATCTCTATCTGTTTAGTTACAAGATACAATAAGTAATTCCTGAATAAATCGAGACGATAAGATGTGACACGATCAAAGTATCAATCAATGGAGCTTGTGACATGTTATTTAATATATTTAGTTTTTTTAATGAAACTCAGTAATATTTGGATTTATTCAGTAATTTTAATTCAAACGCAATATAGATTGAAGGTATCTTAGACTATATGTTCCTTAGATTACACTATTACGCTATCCTAAACAGTTTTCAAATCAATCCAACATAACTCTACAATATTGTAGTTGAATTCAGTTTGCGCCGAAATTTGTCAGTAAAACACTTAATTAAAAAATTCTAGTAATCAACTATACTTTATCAAATTCAGCTTCCATCTGAGGAGGAAATTAGAAAAAAATGACGGAATCGGATAGGACACACATTACGCAAATCACCAAACTGCATCATGAGGCAAACCCTAACTTGGAATCCTGAAGGAAAGCAGAAAAGAGAAAGGCCAAAGAAGACATTACGTCGGGAGATAGAAACAGATATGAAAAGGATGAATAACAACTGGAAAGAACTGAAAAGGACTGCCCACGACAGGGTTGGATAGAGAGCGCTGATCAGCGGCCTCCATGAGGAGTAACAGGCGTAAGTAAGTGTGTTTTGTTTATTGATTTCCTTACTAAGCACTGTCAAGTACTGTGACAGTTTTAATCAATACTTTAACTAAAACTAAGATCGTTGATATTCTGTACAAGTTACACATATTTGTATCAAAATGAAATATTTTCAGAACACTAACCATAAAAAGTAACAGGGCATATATAATGTTATGAAGTTGCTCTTACCTAAAACATTAGTACTATCCACATATTTCGGTTTTATGGCTTCATAGCTGATTAGTTTTGTTTCGTTTTCCATATTCAATGTACCATTGTTTCCATCAGTTAATCGAATATACTTCGGACGCTTAACAACTGTGACGTAACTACTTTGTTGTTGCTGTAAACATGCTTGTACTACATTTTCCGGGAATAGATTTCTGTCAATATAAAATAATGAAAGATAAATTTAATTAATTGAACATAATATCTACATAATGAATATTTGTATAAGAAAAACACTCGAAAAAATCTCAACTATTTTTATTTGAATGATGCCAATCTGTGTTGAGTGTGAGATGGTTATCCACCTCAGACAATACATGAATTGTTGAGCAAGATCATGGATCGTTTGAAGTAAAGCATTAACACCGTTGATTGTCGACTCAGTGATCTATAATTTAAGCGTTCGCGCGTGAGATCGAATGTCCTGGTTTCGAATCCCATGGACAGGATCATGGATGTGCACTGCTGAGGAGTCCCATACAATGAAGAAACGGCTATCCAGAGCTTCTAAGTTTTAAGTGGTAGTCAAGCTTAGATTGATTCGTGAATTCAACCGTAAACATACTTTTACCACACTTAATTATTCATGGTCAATAACAAAAAAACGACATGAAGTAGAAAATGGACAAGTATTTGACCTCAGATAAATTCTGACGACCTACTGTAGTGTATTCTATCTACGTGCTTTCAAATAGACCTGGAAATATAATGTTAATCATCTAAGAACAAAAATTTATTTCATCCAAATATCTCAAGAACGAATTTCCACAAAAGGTCTCCCAGTTATGAAGCCTAATTTTAACATACCTTAGAATTTCTTTGTATAAAATGTAAGTACTACGACTGTATGAAAACCTAATGACATCCAACTCATAATTTGCGTGCAAAATTTAAACCTTCTTGAATATAAGATTTTCTACACAAAAACAGAATAGTGTCATTGGTTAGCAATGCGATTAGTTGACAGTTCACTTTGACATTGATACAACTGTGCACAGTAGAGCTGTGTAACCACAGAAAAGATTATTGTTGAAGATAAGCATCCAGTTGAGAGACAAGACATACAACACGTATATGTACGCTTTGTAATAGTATATTTAAATATATCAGATGGGTTTTGTGGATATCATAGTAATTTTAATGGTTAAGATCATGAGTTAGTTGAAGCTAGACCACCATTGAAAACCCGGAAGCACTACATGGCCGTTTCATCCTATTCTAGGACTCCACAATAGTGAGCACCCATGATTCCACCTCTCGAGATTCGAATCCATGATCTATCAGTCTCGCTCACGTGCACTTAACCACTAGACCACTGAGCCGATCGACATCTAACGGCGTTAATCTCTAACTTCAATCAATCCATTGTGGTCTAGTTTCAATTGACTCATGAATTCAACTATTGAAATTACTAAAATCTCCACAAAACCCCCTTTCTGATTATAATCATTTAATAATTGACAAAATAAAGCGTAACCGACATCATCATCATCATCATCATTAACTTAAGTGTCATCATGAATTTTCTTTTGTTCTTCTAATGTTTATCACAATGATGAGAAACGATTGACAGGATATTCAATCTGTTTTGTCCAAAAAGACAAAAACCTAACTTAATGGCTGAATAATTTAATGATTAACAAAAATTAAAATCAGTTAAGCGTTAACAAAATATTTTTTGTAAGACGAAAAAGAGGAAAAAACAAAGTAGATCATATCCGCTAGTAAATAAAAAAAATTTTGGAGGGGGGGGGAATCGTGAATTTAAAATGTTAATACATGAAATGCAAAAGAAAAGTTTGATGAGACATTCTTCTGGTAATCGACCGGTTTATGAAGACGTCAACATCTAAGGGGGAAACATGGGATACAGTGAACAGATAGGATGCAGCTGGACGATCTAGACTTCACAGATGATCTGGTTCTTCTATCGCACATTCAACAACAAATGTAGGAGAAGACGACCAATGAAGAAACAGCCTTACCAGCAGTAGTTCTCAACATACACAAAGAGAAAAGCAAGATTCTCAAATACAACACAGCATGCAACAATGCAATCACATTTGACCGAGAAGCTTTGGAAGATGCAAAAACCTTCACATATTTGGGCAGCATCATTAATTATGTAGATGTGAAGACGCGAATCGGTAAAGCAAGAGCAGCATATCCATAATTGAAGAACATTTGGAACTCAAAACAACTGACAGCCAATACCAAAGTCAGAATTTTCAAAACAAATGTCAAGACAGTCCTCCTGTATAGAGTGGAAAATTGGACAACTACGAAGGCCATCATCCATAAGATACAAGTGTTTATTAACAGTTTTCAATGCAAAATACTTCAGATTCGTTGGCCAGACAATGTCAACAACAACCTAGTGTGGGAGAGAACAAACCAGATCCCAGCGATAATATGATAATATGATCTTCATCATCATATTCTTAATGACATGTCCACATATATCGATTTTAAAGACCTTAGAAAATGTTATCTTAATTTTTGAGTTGATTATTTCAGCAAGGATTAATTTACAGACTGATTCATTTGTTATCTCAATTACGTGTATTGTTACTAAGTCATTAATTTGTTTCTCCCCTGTTTTTTGTAACTTTAAAATACCTCTATTTAGGTTGAACATTCTAGCTACTATGTATCGATTTATGTACTCTCTATTTAGCCATAGTGTTTAAATGAGAGCTGAATAATACTTTTCACTTAAACTAGATTATATTCAGTTAGATTTGAACAAATGATTTCTAGATGAACTTTGTACTGATAATGTTATGTAGAGAGAAACTAAAATTTTCACAAGTAAACAAGTTAAATCAGATAAATAAAAATGGTAATGTCTGACTTCAACTAATCCACGAAATCGCGCCACCGTAAACCATTGTCTTCAATGAGCTAATATCTCACAACAGACCTGGTTGTACTCCAATGGTCACTACTTCTCACTAGAACTTCAGGAAATGCCTCTTGAAGTCAGTCACCAATGAGCAGATGATTATTATCAGAAGGGGTTTTGTGGAGATTTTAGTCATTTCAATAGTTGAAATCATGAGTCAATTGATGCTAGACCACCATGGTGTACGGTGGCACAATTTCGTGGATTATTTGAAGTCAGACATGAACATCGTTGGATGCCGGCTCAGTGGTTTTAGTGGTTAACTGTTCGCGCGAGGCTGATAGGTCCTGGATTCGAATCTCGCCGGGTGGGATCGTGGATGCGCAATACTGAGGAGTCCCACAATAAAACGAAACGACCGTCCAGTGCTTCCAGGTTTTCCTTAGTGGTCTAGCTTCAATCGACTCATGATGTCAACTAAAGAAAAACGTACCAGAAGAATATCTTTTAAACTTCATATAAAGAGAACAAGTTGATATGTTGATATCCGTAACAAAGTTCTCCTAAATTTACAATCTGAACAATAAGCATTTTGTGTTGTTATTAATAAGTTAAGTTTAAGGTTTTCCGAGTTATTCAAAAAGAGTCCTATCTAATGTAAACGTACTAAAATGATCGAAACATACTGGTTTAAGATATTTCTTACGATGATCAAATTTTAAGTATGAAGTTATTATTTATAGCAATCACTATAGGAATAGATTTAGAGATCGATTCATAATGAGGCCAATATGCAAAAAAAGATGAGTTAAAGTTATTTATAATTCTGATAGACATCATAAATAAATGAATGTTAGATCAACATTGAAAACTTTAAAGTATTGGACAGTCCTTTCGTCCTAGTATGGGACTCCACATGGAACTCGAACACAAAACCTTCAGTCTCATGCGCGTACGCTTAAACTGTAGACCACTGAGCTGACATCAAACAGTGTTAATGTCTAAATTCATTCGATTTATGATCTTACGCAATCATTCATCCATTGCCTGGGGTGTATAACTATCCAGAGGTTAAGCGTTCGCTCGTGAGACCGAAGGCCCTGGGTTCGAGTCCCACGTGTGGGATTGTGGAAAAACACTGTTAAGGAGTCTTATCCTAGAATGAAACGTTCGTTCAATGCTTCCAGGTTTTCATTGACGGTCTAACATTGATCTATTCAAGATCTCAATCAATGCTCAACAATATCTACAACCCTATACTGATAACTATTTTCAATTTCCGTTCAATTGTAATGTTGATTGCGTAACCTATACATAATAACAATAGTTAGATCAAAATACACCAAACCAATAACTGTTTATGTGAATAAAGAACAATTCAGTTTGAACAGCACATGTAATCGAACAATTGTTTTCAATAAAGATGGTCATCAGACTTTAATATAAATGAATATTTATAAGGAAATGTTAAACTAATCAAGTCAACTTGAGCCAATAATCACAATGAAATAGATTACGTCACCGTATAGAATAGGTAAAAGTACAAGTTGTTAGTAGAAAAACATATGTGACGTAATCTCTATTTCAATGTGATTATGGACTCAAATTGCCTTGATTGGTTTAATATTTTCGTAATAAATATTCATGTATATTAGAGTAAAGCCTGATGATGATCTTTATTGAAAACAATATTGTTCAATTACATGTGTTATTGTTCCAATTTTCACAATGGTTATCTTTAAAATTCAATTTGAATAAATCTCATAACTAACAAAAGACGATTCCAACTATTATTGGAAAATAGGTTTTTGGATGTCAACATTATCCGGAACTCATACGACGGACTACAGTGCAAAGTCGTGCATGGAGGACAGCTGACAGATGCATTCCAAGTAAGGACCGTAGTCAGACAAGGCTATATACTCTCACCCTTCCTCTTTCTTCTGGTGGTCGACTGTATTATGAAGACATCGATATCGGAGGGAGGACACGGAATACAATGGACAGCTCGGAACCAATTGGACAATTTGGACTTCACAGATGACCTAGCCCTCCTATCGCATACACATGAACACATGCAGGTAAAGACAGCTAGTGTAGCAGCAGTCTCTTCATTAGTAGGCCTCAGCATACACAAAGGGAAAACTAAGGTCCTCAAATCCGAAGCGGAGAACAGAATTCCAATCACTCCTGATGGCGAAACTCTTGAAGATGTAGAATCCTTCACATACCTGGGAAGCATCATCGATGAATAAGGAGGTTCAGATGCAGACGTAAAGGCGAGGATTGGCAAAGTAAGGGCCGCATTCC